TTTTCCCAGTCAGTGGCTTCCCTTTTTACCCTGTTGGAGAAGTTTTTGGATGTGCATAGGGATTTGAGTCTTAGAAGATCCCATTCAACTACGTTATCTTCTCCTGGTTGTAGGTTTAAAATCCAACTTTCAAACTAACATCACAACATCCGTTCCTTAGGTTGTATCAAGTTTTTATCTTTTATTGCTGAACTTCCATATCTTTCTAGGGTCACTAGTATACTTTTAGTTGTATTTGAGCTTTCAAACTATACAACATTTGATCTTTCAAGCAATTTCACAACTTTTCATGCAGCAGTCATTGTGACACTGTACTGTTAGTTTTTACTCTCCTGATAAAAGTCTATACTAATATTGCTTCAATATCTATACTTATTTCCTAAAACTTTTACTGGGTTCTGCCTGCACTGGATTTCATGATCTTTCTGATCTTGTTCACAAATGGTATTTGATTAAAATGGCACAAAAATAACTCTCAATCTATATTTCCTGAAAAAGTCTTAGAGTCTGAAGTTACACAAATGATGGACATTTTGGATGCATGAATTTTTTGCTTAGTATCTCCTAATCCTTCCAGGCAAAATATTCAAAAGATATGCCTTGATACTTAGCTCAGTCTATACTTATAGAATTTTCTTATTATTGATGATCTTAAAATTTTACAATATAAGAATTGTATCAAAATGTTTAAAATTATATGGATTAATATGTTGTTGTTGTTGTTCATCGCCATCAAGTCAAGCATGACTCATAATGACTCTATGAAAAAAAGACTGAAGCCTTTCTATAACTATCATCATTTCTCTAAGTTCATAGAGTTTCCAAAGGCACGTAGTTTCAGAAGTGGATGCCACTCGTGCTTCTAAACCTGACTTAAACTGGGTGCTCCACCAAACACTGTATAATTTTCATTAAATTAAAGGTTCAAAATATATTGTACTTGTACGTTACATGAATATAAAATTTTAATTTCATAATTATACTTATTGGAAGTAGGAGTGGCATCCACTTCCTAAACAATTTGCTTCTGGAAACTCTATGAACTTTAATAATGATGATAGTAATAAAAAGACTTCAGATCTTTGTTCATAGAGTCACTATGGGTTGTGCTCAACTCAACAGCAGTAAACATCAACAATTATTATTTAAAAGATAAATGAATTCTGGAACTTGATCCAAGATTCCTCAATGTTAGAAAGCTAATGTATGACCTTATGTGATTCTCCAGGACAAAAGAATATTGTGAATGTGAGTGTGTGTGTGGGGGGGTGGGGGGTGAGTGGGTGAGTGGGTGGGTGGATGGGTGTGTGTACCTACCATTTCTTACAACTACTTGAGAATTGCAGTTTTCTCAAAGTAAAAGACTTTTATCCCTTTATGTCAGCAGTCTACTAACATTTAATAATTTAATCCAGAAACAGAAAACTTAAATTTTATCTAACAATCATCAAGACTAAAAGCAAAATGGGTGAAAGCCTTTGTATGGCTGTTATAAATCTAATACATAATTTTAACATTTCTTGACATACTATATAATTTGTAAAATAATCATCTTGAATTCATGACTATTTCCCCTCCTAACAAAAATTGTATTTTCGTTATACACAGAAATACTCCTCTAGTAATAAACATGATTGTGGTGTTATCCCTCTGAAAGTCCCATTTTTTTGTGTACAGATATTTTTAACAGTAAATTGATTTATGATTTCTATAGGAGTGAGCACTTTGAGGAAAAATATGCTACAACTTCAGGACAACATGGAGACTCTAAGCAACCTGACATCTAAATACCCCATCTTCTTGCTGACAGGTTTTCCTGGCCTAGAATCTTTCCATTCCTGGATCTCCATTCCATTCTGTTGTCTCTATATCATTGCTTTCTTTGGGAATGGCATGATTCTATTTATTGTCATTACCCAGAAAAATCTTCATGAACCCATGTACTATTTCCTCTCCATGCTGTCAGCTACTGACCTGGGTTTGACTATTTCTACAATGTCAACAACACTAAGTGTCCTCTGGTTTGATGTAACCAATATCAGTTTGGATAGCTGCATCATCCAGATGTTTTTTCTTCATGGATTTACTTTTATGGAAACTGGAGTGCTTGTGGCTATGTCCTTCGACCGTTATGTGGCAATTTGTAACCCTCTAAGGTACTCCACAATCCTCACTAATTATAGAATTACTCAGATGGGTCTCTTGATGACTATACGTACTGTAGTGATTATAGTACCACTACTCCTGCTCCTTAAGCGTCTCTCTTTCTGCAGAACTACTAGACTTTCCCACTCCTATTGTTACCACCCAGATGTGATTAAATTAGCATGTTCAGATACTCGGGCCAATAGTATCTGTGGATTAATTGGTCTCATCCTGACCACAGGGATAGATACACCATGCATTGTCCTGTCTTACATTGTTATTATTCACTCTGTCTTAAATATAGCATCTCCTGAAGAGAGGCACAAGGCCTTTAGCACCTGTGTCTCCCACATTGGGGCAGTTGCCATCTTCTATATCCCCATGGTAAGCCTGTCCTTGGTGCATCGCTACGGTCATTCAGCTCCCAGAGTGGTCCATTCGATGATGGCCAATACATACCTGCTTCTACCGCCAGTGCTCAACCCCATCATTTACAGTGTCAAAACCAAACAAATACGCAGAGCAATATGTAATCTGTTGCTGACAAAATGAATAGCATTAGAATCATTTATTAATTTTAAAGATGATTGACATGTAAATGTCAGTGAAATGGTGAACACAGTCATTTCCTTTTAGATATTTCCTCAAAAATTGTTTTTGCAAAGTAATTTAGTGACTGTTCATTGCAACTTCATTATTACTTATGTTTTTATTGTTGTGTACCATCGCACCAGAGTCAATCCATAGCTGAGCCTCCAACCAGTTTTCAGTAGTTAATTGCACAGGAGATTGCCCACCCTTCTCCTTGAAGCAGCTGGTGGCCTCAACTTCATGTTTTAGTGATTGCAGTACTGCTTCTTGGTACTAGGCCACCAAAGCTCCCTTCTTTCCACTAGTAGGTAAAAGTAAGAAATATCCCAGATCTCTGTAACTGCTAATGAGATAAAATGAAGCCTTGAAACTAACAAGATAGCTAACACTCAAAAACATAATATTTTTTCTTCCTATAGAAGAAACTGGCGGGAAGAGGCCCTTAGGGACAAGAGGCCCTTGGGGACAGGGAGAACGTGCTCCTGGGCAGAAGGGAAGCCTGGAAGTGGTGCACAGGGGGAAGTCACCTCAGACAATAACGAAGCCCTTGGGGACAAGAGGCCCTTGGGGACAGGGAGAACGTGCTCCTGGGTGGAAGGGAAGCTGCGCACCCTCGGCCAGAAAGGACAACATAGTCTACACA